GGTCAGGGGTGAAGGCAGTGACTTGGTGGCTTCGGCAAGCACAGCACCCTTACTTTTCAGAAACCCACCCCAGGTTCTACCCCTCCCAGTCCAGCACCTACAGCAGCGAGCTGGCGCGTCCTTTCTCCATTCAGTATGGGACTGGGAGCTTGTCCGGAATCCTCGGCGCCGACAAAGTCTCGGTGAGTGCAATGCCTTCACCTCTTTCTCTCTTGGCTGGAAACCTGGGGGTCAGACTCCGGTGCAGAGCTCTGAGGGGGGCCACATAGAAGTTAGACTGTTCACTACACGTCGACAGTTCAAACCTACCAGCTGCTCCCTGAGAGAAAGATGAGGCTGACTGCTCCTCTAAAGATTGACCGCCTCGGATATCCTACACGGGGTCACTTTGGGTCAAGACTGACTCCGTGGCAGTGGGTTTAGGTTTGGCAGGAAGAGGAGATGCTGGGGAACGTGCCATGGTAGAGGCGGGGCTGCCTTCCAAGGAGTGGAAAGGCTGGCCATGCAGAGGGAGCAGTACCCTGAGCCGGTGGTGAATGGTGCCGCTGGGTTACTCTGCCCGGTACCAGGGGCCCCAGGGAAGCAGCTTGGGGCTTCCTGCTGGAAAACCGGGCCCAGGAGAGAAAGCCCGGGGACACGTTCACAGTGGGAGCTCCAGTCCCAGGAGCATGGAGGGAGTGAGACCAGGTCTCCATCACAAAGGGCAAAGGTGTTCAAGCCAGGAGCCAAAATGCCAGGTATAAGGTGGGTTGCAGAGAAAACCCTAGATTTGCACCACCTATCCCTGACCCATAGCAACACGTAGAAAGAGCAGATCTGCCCAATAGGGTTCCTATGGACAGGGAATGGATGACCACAGCTTTCTCCCTTCCTGAAGACCCCGGCTAGTGCAATAAGCACATTAAAAAACAAACAAACAATGACTAAGGGCATTGGGATTGGAAAGGTAGAAATAACTGTCATTATCTAAACATGGTAAGAGTCTATATATGGAATCCAAAACCGCTACAGATGGAATACTGAGATCAATAAGTGGATTTCGCAAAGATGCTGGTTATTATTGAATTTCTACCAGGCAGAAAAAGCAAATCAAAAGTAAATTTTTAGCATCAGAAACTTCAAATACCTAAAAGTAAATTCAACAAAAAATGTTTAAGACCTCTTCTTTAAGAACTGCGTAATATCATAGAGTAAAATTAAAGAGCATAGATGTAAATTAAGAGATAAACCACACTCCCGGATGGAAAGAATAAGTATTATGAAGAAGTAAAATCCTTCCAAATTTATCCATAGATTCAATGTCACCCAACCAAAGCAAGAACAGTTTTTTTTAAAATAAATTGGCAAGCTGATTCTAAAATCTATATAGATATGTAATGCTCCACGAATAATTAAGACAATCTTGATGAGGAATGCTGCCAATTATCTAAATTTATTATAAATCAATGGTAATTTAGTGTAGTATTGGCAAAGGATAGGCAAATACACAAATGGAGCTAAATAGAAAATTCTAAACCTTCCCTTACCTTATGTATATTGGTTATGATGCTGTAGTGCGGTGAAGACATTATGGCACAGATATGAAGTGATGCTGGGTCAATTGGATATCCTTACACGATAAATAAATCTTGACTGCTACCTCACACAGTATTAAATATCAGATAGGTTGCATATCTAAATGTTAAAAAGTAAAGCAATAAGGCTTTTAGCAAAGAACACACCAAAGTATCTTCATGGCCTTCCCAAACCCAAGTGCACTGTGAGGGAGTGATTCTACACACTTGAGTGATTCCACACGACAGGATAGAACCACCCGGTGGGGTTCCAAGATTGTAAATTTTTATGGGAGTAGAAAGCCTCATCTTTCTCCCTCAGAGCAAGTGGTGGTTTTGAATTACGGACCTTCTGGTTAATGGTCCAACATGTAACCGCTATACCATGAGGACCCCTTTTGATGACTTTAGGGCAAGTAAAATTTTTGAAACTATCATTAAAATCATAAGGGAAAATTGATATTTGACTATACTACCACTTAGATCTTCTGCTCTCTGAATGATCCCCTTAACAGTAAAAATATCAGCCACAAACTGGTAGGAGGTATCTGTAATGCATATGTCTAATTGGATTCCATAATATATAAAGAACCTTTATAAATCAATAAGAAAAATGCAGCCAACCCACTTCAAAAAAGAGTATATCCAAATGTTGGAGAAAACATGAAACAATAAGAACGCTCAAATAAATATTGGGATTGGAAGTATCCATTAGTACAATATCTGAGACAACTATTTGGCAATATCGACTCAAGCTAAACACTTGCATACACCATGATCTAGCAATTTCAGTCCTACACGCATATGCAACAGAAATACGTATGTGCATTATTGTGTTAGGCTGGGTTGACTAGAGAAACAAATCCAGTGGTATTCTTAGATGTGTAAGAAAGACTTTTATATCAAGAAGTAATTGTATAGCAAGCAAACATCCCAGCCCAGTCCAGATCAAGTCCATAAGTCCAATACTGGCCCATGAGCCTGATACTAGTCCGCACGTCCCTCTTCAGACTCCCTCAGCCACGTGCAACGATGCAGCATGCAGGCAGATCACGGCCAGTGCAGTCATGTGGATCCGATGGCAGTGGCCTCCTCCCAGGGCTCTGGCAGCAACCAGGGTCAGCCAGCAGGAAGGCGACGGCAGAGGGAGAGCCCTCTTTACGAGGTCACACCCACAAGGAGGCATGATCATATCAGGCGGTGACCTGATTGACAAGCCAGACGCCACCCCTACACGTCTCTCTATAGCTTCAAGTTGACGTGAGATTATGTAACTACCACAATTAGGGGCATCAAAAGACATGTACAAGGAACACAATTAGCAATAATCAAACACAGAAAACAACTTGAATGTCTACCTTTGGCCAGATAGCTTAAGTCAGTGAGGATAGAGCAGACCATGAAATGCTAATGCTAATATAAAAAAATTGGTGAGTGAAATAAACCAAATACAGAAGAGTTCCTATGTGTTTTTCCATTTACATAACACTCAAAAATTGGCAAGACTCATATAATATATGTTCTTAGACGTTAGGGGGCTGAATGTATGCTCTTGAAGAAGGGTGCAGTGATTGGAAGGGTGCAGAGACGGCTTTCCAGGTTTTGTAATGTCTTGTTCCTTGACTTAGTAGCTGGTTACATGGGTGTGTACCATTTATGAACACGCGTTTGTCGGTACACTTATGATTTCCATTAATAAGTGTACTCTTTACAAGGAAAGTGGATGGGACTCTGGCCACAATCTCAGTGCCTGCTGCATACAGGAAACTGGGACAGGATGAGAATGAGCTTTGAGGCCGAAGGAGAATCCAGGGATGCCATCAATTTCTCCATGGCTTTTTCCCATCAGGTAGGAGGACTGACCGTGGTCAACCAGCAATTTGGAGAGAGTGTCAAGGAGCCAGGCCAGACCTTCGTGGATGCCGAGTTTGATGGAATTCTTGGTCTAGGATACCCCTCCTTGGCTGTTGGAAGAGTGACCCCAGTGTTTGACAATATGATGGCTCAGAACCTGGTGGACGTACCCATGTTTTCTGTTTACATGAGCAGGTAAGGCTGTCAGGCCCGCGAGTGATGGTCAGTTATTCCTCCAGGAAGACCACGCGGTGCAGCTGAAGGAGCCCTGGAAGAGCAGCTGAGGGCTTGCGGCGGAGTCCCCGCGCAGCCGTTTACTGTGTGATTTACCCTCTCTGAATACTGAGGAAATGGGGGTTGACCTCAACAGTTGATGTGGAAAGCGCTTTGTAAACTGAACTAATGAACTGATGTAAGGAGTCTCTGGCTACACGTTTTTCCAGTCGGTAACGATCCATCAAGTTCCTATGATAAGCCAAGTATCACGCTAGCTGGGCACTCGGAGTCGCCGTCCCTGCCTCCACGGAGCTCCGTCTCAGTGGGGAGGGACAGACACCGCTTAAAGGCACAATAACAACAGAATGATCACACGCCTGTGGTACAACAACAAAGCAAAGACACAGCCTACAGACTGGGAGTCAATGTTCGAGAGCCTTATACTCTACACAGGGTTTAAATCCAGGGCATCTAGAGAATGTCTACAATTCAGCAACAGAAACAAGCAGCCCATTTAAAGAATGAGCAGAGGAGTTAAAGAGACACTTCTCAGAGACAAACAAATGCCTACCACACAGCTGGAACATGCTCAAGTCATGTTTCCAACAAGCCATTGTCACTCACTTCTCACTCACGGTGGTCCCACAGGACCGAGCAGAGCTGCACCTCGGGGTCCCTCTTATCAGGACTTTACCTATTGGGCCGGTCCTAAGAGTTTGGGTTTCTTTACATTGCGCTGTAATCCGCACTGAACACTACCATCCTGATCTCCATCAGCAAGTGGCTCACGTTTCCCTCACTTCCAACTCAAATGTTTAACTCGCCTCTAGTGTGATGCCTAGATAGCCCTGGTGGATAGTGCTTATGTGCTGTGCTGCTAACAGCAGGGTCGGCAGTTCTAAATCACTAGCTCTGCCTCAGGGGAAGATGAGGCTTTCTACTCCCGTAGAGTTACAGTCCGGGCAGATCTACCGTGTCCTATCGGGTCTCAGGAGTTGGCATTGTCTCAAAGGCAGCAACAACGTGACGGCTGGAACGGCTTCTCTTTGGGGGGCCTGTGAGGTTAGTGAGTATTGGTGATTTTGCAGGCCTTGTATGGTCCGTGGGCTGGACACTGATGACCTCGGCCTTTGGGTCTCCAAGGCTATAACTCTATGAGAACAGAAAGCCTCATCTTTCTCCTCTGGAGCAGCCAATGGGTTCGAACTGCAGACCTTAAGGTTATCAGCCCAACTCATAGCCCACTCCACCATCCGAGCCCCAGCCTGACTCCTAGCCTCCCTCTAGAGGACAGAGAAGAACAGTTCTTTAGTGGTTCTGAGTCTATACATCGCATTTTTCTCCCACAGAGCAGCCCATGGGTTTGAAAGGCCAATCTTGTGGTTCACAGTACAATGCTTGACCCACGGTATCATCAGGGCTCATTCTAATCAGACTCAAAACCCCAAACTCACTGCCACCCAGTGATCCCGACTCATAACAACCCTATAGGACAGTGGAGAACTGCCCCTGTGGGCTTCCAAGGCTGTAAATCTTTATGGGAGCAGAAAGCCTCGTCTTTCTCCTGCAGAGCACCCGGTGGTTCAGAACTGCTAGCCTGTGGTTAGAGCACAATGCATGCCGAGCCACTACGTCCCAGGGCTCCTTCAATAAGACTCAAACTCATGGCCATCCAGGCAATGCCGACTCATGGTGGTCCTGTGGGACAGGGTAAAACTGCCCCTGCGGGTTCTGGGACTGTCACTGTTCCAGGGAGGAGAAAACCCCGTCTTTCTCCTGTGGAGCGGCTGGTGGCTTCAAACTGCTGACCTTGCAGTTAGCAACCCACAAAACCAAGCACTGTTCGTTCCTTTCCCACCATAGAGACCCCCATCCTTTCCCCCTTACTACCCTCTCTACCCTGCAGTGTCCTAAGTTCTGTATTGTTCTCACCCATTTATGCCTGAACATGAACTCATCATCTGTCCTACCTCCCCAGAGACTTGCTAGAGGCCAGGACATAATCTAAGAGCAATAGCAGCAAAAATGAATAAATATTCAAGCTCCAATTAGCCACATTTGTATTCAAATTCGCCTCTCTTTGCCTTAAGTCAAAGGCAAGAACAATAGGGAAACTCTAGGCACCACTGCTGCCCTAGTGTGGAGAATACTTTGAGAAAAGTATCTTTGGGGGATGTCTCAAGTCACACTGTGTGTCCACAGACACAGGCTAGCCCTGGCCTGGTTCTCCCTGAGCTCTGTCCAGATCCATTGTCCTCATCTCCCACCTCTCTAGCCCTTTCGTCCCAGAAGCTGGAAGACGCCAGCAAATCAGTGAGCAGCGTTGGTTCCACACTTAGTGTTGAAATCAATTGCTGTACTTGTAAGGCCTTGTCTCCAAGCCTAGGCTGAGATTTCTGCCTGTCTAGCTAGGTACTTGGTGTGAGTCACAAGACCACGAAGCAGAGAGCCCTAGTTTTCCAATGCTCCTCCCTTAACAACCTTTCTTTCCCTTTAGTGACCCGGAAGGTGGGGCTGGAAGCGAGCTGATTTTTGGAGGCTACGATCACTCCCATTTCTCTGGGAGTCTGAACTGGGTTCCAGTCACCAAGCAAGCCTATTGGCAGATCGCACTGGACAAGTGAGTCTCCTCCACCAAGGGGTGATGGTATGAAGGCAGAAGTCACCACAGAGGGACTGAACTGAACTGATCTGAATGGAATTATTGGTTTCAGGACTGGCTGGGGAAAGCTGTCAGGTGGGGTTAGAGTTAGAGAAGGGCCGAACAAAGGTGCAGGAACCAGGGCGGGCTGCAGGCCCGCAGGACTAACGCCCATCTTCCTCCCCGTACATGCGCACCTTCATGCCAACAAAAGACCCAGTGCTCTGCTCATTCATTCATTCATTCATTCACTCAGAGTCACGCACTCAGGACAAGGGCTGGTGACCAGGTTAGGAATGCCAAGGTGGACTGGGCTCTGACTCTGCCCTCTTGGAGTTAGTGTAGAAGATAAAGCATGCCTGTCAATCACTGCTATGGAGAGAGAAGGTGGGCAGTGCTTTACAAAAGGGGGACACCAGAGTGGCCAACAGACAGGCTGTTTTCCAACAGCAGTGATTTGCCCATTAGCGAGCCATGACCCCATTGTGAGGGATCATGTCCTGCATTTTGAAAGACATGGAAAACAACAGCACATAGTAGGGTTAAACATTGTGTCATGATATGTTTGCTGTGTGTGTGTAAGAGAGAGAGAGAGAGAGAGAGAGAGAGAAGAGAGAGAAGGCAAGAAGTAAATGTATCCCTCACTATGAATTTCATTCCCAAAGTTGAGAAACACTTACCTGGTGGAAAAGACCAAACTGGAAATTATCCATATGTTTCATTTTCCTAATGTGAGTCCCGTAGAACGAGAGCTTCCTGAGGTTGCAGGGGGGCTTCTGGGAGCTGACGATGCCCCTCTTTACTCAGCATCCAGGTAGGGGGAACCGTGATGTTCTGCGTGGAGGGGTGCCAGGCCATTGTGGACACAGGGACCTCCCTCCTCACAGGGCCCTCACATCAGATCAAGCAGCTGCAAAAGGCCATCGGGGCAGAGCCCGTGGACGGAGAAGTGAGTGTCTGCCTGGCAGGGTGAGGGGTCTGGAGAGTGAGGCTCGCTCTCGAGACCTGGGAAGCCCTAAGTGGTTCCTCTGTGCTGTGTTGTGGTATGCGGTGGAGTGTGCCAACCTCAATGTCATGCCGGATGTCACCTTCACCATCAACGGAGTCCCCCACACCCTCGGTCCAACGGCCTACACCCTGCTGGTAGGAACTGTTTCCTGATTCTGCAAGTGCGAAGGCTTCCACACATGCCTGCCACTTCCCCAACAGTCGCCTGCATTCCCCCTGAGCTCCTTCCTACCTCAGACCGCTCAGACATGGCAGTTCCCTCTAGGAGAGGCCTGGCCACCCGTGGTGTCAAAACCATGTTCTGGCTCTGTCCGGCTCTGGCCACAGAGAAGGGTGGTCAAAGCTCACTGGAAACTCTCCATGAGCTTTCCGACCCTTGTCCTGGAGACCCACCCCAACGGGAACAGTGACTCCCCTCACTGGAAAGATTCTCACCGAGACTCACAAAGGGAGGTAGACCCTTCAAGCGGTGAGGTGCTGGGGAGATGGAACAAGGTCATGTGTCCTCTAACCATTCCCTGACCATTTGTTCCAAACAAGGAAGTGTTTCTTCAGGAGTCTGGAGGGCACGGTGGAAACGCAGCTCCTGGCACGTTGGGAACCTCTGGTTCACGTCACACCACAGCTGGTGCAGACTTGCACCATCTCAGTTCTCGGGCAGCACACTCAGAGTCACCCTTCAGCACCCACGTGACTGTCACAGCACAGCCTCACTCACCAGCTCTTGGTCTTTACCAACCCCCTTCCCAACCAAGCAGACCAAACCCGCTGCCCAGGAGTCGGTTCAAAGTGGCCTTGTAAGACAGAGTAGAACTGCGACCTCGTAAGACAGAGTAGAACTGCGACTTCTTAAGACAGAGTAGAACTGCGACCTCGT